TGGAATAGTAAGCATATGAGATCACAGTGAGTGTATAACATAATAATGAACATATAAGGTAACACAGCCTCTGAGGTCGCAGTTAGCAAATGAGATCACAGTGAGTGTATAACATAATAATGAACATATAAGGTAACACAGCCTCTGAGGTCGCAGTTAGCAAATGAGATCACAGTGAGTGTATAACATAATAATGAACATATAAGGTAGCACAGCCTCTAAGGTCACAGTTGGCAAATGAGGTCACAGTTAGTGTATAATGTAATATTGAACATATAAGGTAACACAGCCTTTGAGGTCACAGTTGACAAAAAGACAATATCAATATCGAAGTATCGATTATTATTATTTTTATTATTGAGGACAAAAGGATATGTAATTAATAATGTAACACTGGTTTCAGTTCATCAAACTAGTCTTTACCTCAAATGGCTTCCCAGAATGTTCAACTATAATACGAGGCCTTTTCTAAGCTGATTAAGTGTAAATAATGAGACACAAACGGGTAAAACGTGAAGGCGAGCTTCATCAGAGGAGCATTCAGCCAGAATGATGTGGCAACAAAAGAACAAGAAATCGCCTCCTTTGTGGATCTTTCGCTTTCCGCTCAAACAGTCATGCAGACATGCTTCTCTCATAAGCATCTTTGTTCTAGAAGCACGGTTGGGATTCTGGCGGAGAAAAATGGTCATGCTGTTTCCTTCTTATGAGCATTAGGAACATTGCTGACTGACGGGAGAATAAAACGAGTCGGCCATCAAACAAGGCTGCAGCCAGTTCTCAGAAATAAAACGAGAGAGCTGTGATTGAAGGGAAGGGGGACCGAGATGGTCACTCAAGCCGTGCAGCCGCTGCGGGGTGCAGTTGCCAGTACTACCAGGAGTCGGTCATTAGGGGGTGCAGCGACCTGGGTACCCACAACACCAAAGCCCAGGCACTCTGCAGAAATGTTTTGTTGAGAGACAGGCTTTGGGGCTTCAGCTCCAATGTGAATCTGAGCAGCTGAAAATCAGTGTGACTTGAGTCCATATGGTTTTAGCATGCGGCCACATGGGACCCGCCAGAACCGCGAGCAAGTAAACGGGGCCGTGATGCAGAACGCCTCAGCGGGATCACTGTCTCCGCGTCTGGGCCGCGGATCTAGAACTCTCCCTCCCCGGCCCCATTCTGCCTTTCCATCTAACACAAAGACCCACGACCCCCCTCCCTCACTCCTTATGTGACCATTCATGAGCTCTAATCTCTTATTCGATTATTTCCCCCTCACAGTGGAAGCACACAAAAAACTGTACGATATTTTTTAGTAAATGGATGAACAATGAGTCTGATTTAACACAGCGCAATCGAAATAATCCTAGCTGCCTAAAAAAAAATCACACTGCCCCCTATTGACAGGGAGGTAGCATGTGATCAGTGATCAATGAAGACTGAGTGAGTAATTTGTTCTGAGTTATAAACTTCCTTAAGGAGAACCAGTCAGTGGTGTTATTTTTTTCCCTCTCCTGGGGGTCAGGCACTAACACCCCAGCTTCTGGGGGTCAGCTGAGCACTTTCGGAAATACTTGTTTAAATAAAATGTGAAAATAAAAAAAAAATTGAAGTGTCCCTTTCTGTGTAGTCTCAGAGCACCCTCCAAATCCAGTGTTTCCATATTTACACATCTACACCTCTGTTGGCTTTTGAGAATCTGAAATTAATGAGAACAGGCTTGCGTTAGTGCAGACACAGGTGTGTGCGCTGCAGTTTAGTACCTAAAGCGCGCCGCCCGCTGCAGCACAGCCAACAGGAGACAGTGATCCAACTGCGCCCAAGGACATCCCGTTGGTCGGTTTCCCTGGAAACCACTGCAAAAGACTTCCCACGGTGGTGTTTCCCAGGCAACTTCCAATAGGGTCAACACAGGTTGTCCCTTAATCCACCGCTGGGGTGCTAAATACGGGTTAGGGGTTCTGCTGTAGTACCCTAATGCTAGTTATTCGAATGGAACATCTCTTTCACGCAATCAATCCTTCATCAGGGCTACAATCTGAACTATTTCAGACTTAAAGGACCTCAAGAATCTGAGTGTTATCTTGCTAGGCAAACACATATACGACTCCTCATTGGATAATTGGTCATTTTATGCAAATGAAGCTGAATTTTCAACCAATCAGGACAAAGAGAATAATGGGTCTGTTAATGGGACAGATTGCTGGGAGACCCCCCCCCCCCAGGCATCCCGACCCCCACCCCCACCCACTGCACCATCCAGACTCCTGCAATTTCCAGGCAGCCAGAACCGTTGTTAAGAAGGATTAAGCACATTGGTGGTAGCAGTCGCAGCAGGACGGCTCAGGGGTGGCTTGCACAACACACATTTAGATTTATACCCCCCCACCACCCTTTGAGAAGCCTACAGCTGCACCTTGTCTTGCCACTTGAAGCACAAGCCAAAACTCATGGGAAAACAGTCACACTTTCATCCCACTCAGATCCATAGCTGAATGCAGATTCCTCGCACACTGAGGATTTGTGAGTGAACAGCACACCAGTGGCTCACGGTGAATCCGCGGGCGTTTCGGCACAGTTCACAAAGGGTTAACGTGCCCAGTGTTTGTGCTTGACTTCAATGGCTTATCTGCCCGATTAGACAACAGGCACCATTCCCAGTCATTTAAATGATGGGGTCGAGAGCAGAGAGGGGTGTGAGAGAGACACAGAGGGCAAGAAAGAGAGAGAGAAAGAGAGAGAGAGAGAGAGACAGGCAGAAGGAAGGATCACAGAGAGAGGGAGGCAGAGATGGTGATGGATAATCAGATTCGTAATCTAAGACATCTGTGCCTTTCCTACAATGAGTTTTTCTCATTTCGACTGATGCACACACCGGCATGAGTGAGTAAAAATAAAAACAGGAGAGAGACAGTCAAAGCATGCATGTGTCCTTCTGCCAAGAGACAGCACACCACAAGCAGATGAAGCAAGCCAGAATCAGCCCATTACCCAGCACTAATTAAGCACCACGATGGGGCAACTAAACACTCATTCTAGCAGAAAGAGAGAAGCAGCACCTTCCCACTGCGCCAAGTTCCCAACAGGCCACGGGCAGCGGGTCCGAAAGCCAGCAAGAGATCCGAAAAGCCTTCATGTCCCTTCTGTACCACAGCAGAATCAGACTCATGTGGCAGTATTGGTGCAGATATTCACTAACAACATTAGAAATAAAATGAAATTCCCTCCAGGGAATAATAAAGTATGTATGTATATATGCATGTATGTACACATGCAGGTATGCACGCATGTATGTATACTTGCATGCATGTATGTATCCTTGCATGCATGCATGTGTAGTATACATGCATGCATGCATATATACATACATGTATACCATACATGTATGTATATATGCATGCATGCATCTCTGTATATATGTATGTATGCATGCATCTATGTATCTATCTATCTATCTATCTATCTATCTATCTATGTATTAAAAGCGATAGTCCAAATCAGGACAGATTACAGAGAGCAAGTTGCTTATCTGGACATACACACAGCAACAGGCTGCATATAGCAGAATACATACATACACCATTGTTGGTTATATACCACTGGGGTCTCAACTGGTCCATGATTACGGCAATAAAGGTGGGTGCCCATGTCACCTCATTCCAGCAGCATCTACTATTGCCCCCCGCCTGTCCCAAATCCTCTCCACCTGTCCCACAATCCTCTCCACCTGTCCCACAATCCTCTCCACCTGGCCTGTAATGGTCCCACAACCTACTCCACAATCCTCAGTGTCTGGTCTAAGAGTCACTATAACATGATGACCAGACTGGCAGGCCCTGAGCCAATGACATGGGCAGAGGGCTGGTCTGGACAGGGCGGGGGGAAGAGGGGGTTTGGAACAGTCAGAGTAGCTGCTACTCAGTAATCACCTTGTGTCAAACCTTTCATATTCTTGTAAAGGTTCTGTTTCTAAACCTCCACCTCAGTGGCTGAGTACCAGCATTAGTGGGTGATCATTTTTCTGTAGAATAAAGCATATTAAAGACTCCTAACGGGTGCTGGTGCTGCTATTCATAATGTATATCGCTGATGTGCCGAGTGTCACCCTCACACACCTTCCTGGCTTCTGACAATTATGATTCAGTCTGCATTGTCTTCATATAGAACCTTTTCCCTATTCGATATAGCTTCACCAAAAGAGTTTTAATATTAGAAGGAAATATAGAAGGAAAGATACACTTTCTTTTTCAGACACTCGTTATCATAATTCAAAACCCATAGAGGAAACTAAGTTGTGTTGTGATTGAATTATGGATTAAAGTCTTCTTCCTCCTGCGCTTAAGTTGGCTTCTGCCACAGATGACTAATAAAATGACGAGGAATTAAAATGAATTAGGTCTGACTCTTGACTCTTTACTCTTACGGCAGCCGAACACACTGGCTAGCAAAGCAGCAGATATATATTCTCTGTTTAAGATTAAGCTGCAACCTGGGGAATCATCTTGCAGCAGTTAATCAAAACTTCATCTGTTTACCACTATCTCACAACATCGGTGTCCGGGATAAATCTTAATAATGAACTGATGTTATCTGTAAATAACTCAATCGGATTTGCTGGTAAATATAGACTTGACATGAAAAGACTCGGTTAAAGAAAATTAAAAAGATACCAAGGAATCTATATTTCATTAGACCAGTGTTTTCCAAACCAGTCCTCGGGCACATTAGACAGATCCACATTTTTGTTTTATCCCAGTTCCCAGAACACTTGACCCAAGCAATTGGGAGCTCTAAACACCTTACAGGTCTGCTGGGAACTGAGATAAAACAGAAATGTGAATCCGTCCAGTGTGACCCGAGGACTGGTTTAGGAAACACTGCATTTGACCATATCAGCCCATCCAATGAAAGGATGCTTTACCACTTTCATATTGCCTCTGGTTAAAAGTTCGGTGTGGGACGGACACAAGTAAAAGCTAGAGGCAACACAGGCCGGAAAATGAATCGACTTTATAATAAAAATAATCCCAGAATAATCCCCGCTTTACCTTTTTGTGCTTATCTTTGATATGCAGCGCCAACCACGGCATCTCCTGCAGGAACTCCTGCCAGCGTTTCTGATCCTGGTCCGACGAGACGAAGACGATCTCCAGCTCCTCCCTGCGCTCCGACGCCTTCTTGAACTTGCAGTAGAAGTCGCGCAGGCTGCCGTTGAATTGCCGGCACGGTGCGCTGAGGCTGCAGCCGAAGTAGAGCCCTAGGACGGACAGCCGGCCGCCCAGCTCCTGCACGTCCACCTCAGCCCTTTCGCTGTTCACCAACCGCTCCCCGAGGAGGGTCACCAGAAACTCCGACATCCTGCCGCAGTAACCAGTAGAAACCACCTTTTATCTTGGGGTTACCCCTAAAAATAACCACGCAAAATATCAATGAATCTATAGGGCTCCAATAACCTTTCTCTTCCCCTAGTTTAATAAAAGCGGAGCACTGAGCTGGCATGCGGGGATGCAGTGTATCCGAAACGCCGGCCACCTCCCCTCAACGCGCGGCTTGGGAAACGCAGCGAGCTCTGCATCCCAAACCGGGTGAGACGCTCAACTCTTCGATGACATCCAGCGGTGAGCAGGCGGAACCAAGAGCCTTAAACTTCAGCAACCAAATCACCGCATTAAAGACCTTAGCCCAAATGTACGACCGGACCGTAGTTAAAACAAGGATCCGCTTCTCTGTAACACGTATTAATTAGTATAATCACAAATACGTATATTCCTCAATCTTAATAATTTATGTTGCTTACTGTACATTTCTACTAAAGACCCTGGCCAGGTCCCACGGTCCAATTGATGGCAGTGATTCTATTTATTTATCTACAATGGTTCGACTGTGAAAAGTAACTGATGCAGAAATAATATTTATACGGATTATAAAAATAGCTATTCACGCTATGCAGAAAATCCGTATAAATATTATTTCTGCATCTCTTCATATTGGTGGGAAATAACGAAACCGAGAAAGTGCGCCACCAGCTGTTTTGTCATGGCACTGATTGTGTTTAGTGAGTGAGCGTATGTACTTATGCGAGAATTGTCACGTTCAGTGAAGGCGTGTTGGTAATTGAGATTGGCTCTCAGCAACAGGGTGTTTAAATGAAAATACCCTGCAGTATAGTATCCTACTGATTTTACATGCCTCAAAAATTGAAAAGTAAGCCCTTCTCTTTGCCTAATACAGATGTCCTCGCGCATCCCCAGCCCTCGCTCACCGCCTTTATAATCTAAATCTGTAAACGCAATCTGATCCAACCGCATTTAAAACGCTCCGACTCACTGAGACCTTTGGAGTTTATCGTTTCTCTCTTGTGTTTCGTTCCCTCTGCCTGTTCTGAGCACAGGGTCATTATTTACGTTATATGAAATACGAAGGTTATGGTAGCGCAAATAGTGTGGGGCTTTTCAGTGAGAAAATCACTGCCAAAAGCCGGAATTATGATGTCGTTCCCCACTTATCTCTGCCAGAGCACATTTCCCCAGCTGGGTTGCCCGAGAAGGAAAGGTGATTTTTCAAACGTCTCTGTATAGCGTCCAAATAGATTCCAGCAGTTCTCAAAGACCAAAGCACAATAGTGATTTAACAGCCTTAAACAGCACAGACCACTGGAAGTCTGTAAATGCCCTTTATACACAGAATACGAGTTCTACCAACACTTTCTATTTGTAAATATATAATTGATGCCAAGTGCTATTTGTTATGATTTACTGCAGTAGCATCAAATGAAGCTTTCATTGTGGATAATGTAATTGAAAAAGATGCAGTAGACGATGATCCTCATCTTTTCATTAGTAAACACCAAATCATGAGCAAAACAAATATAAAATCTTCTTTCTCAAAAAAAATGACACATTTATCGGGTTGCTTTAACACACCTTTTAAATCACAGGCATACACAGCTACCACAGAAAGCCAGAAGTAAATGGAAAATGAAAAAAGAAATACACTGTCCATCATCCTTAAAAAATCTTACATATCCCAAGGCCTGTAGTCCTAAATAGTACAGCAATTTCCTACATTGTCATGTGTAAGTCTATGCGTCATGGAATTGGAAAACCCAATGATGTCACAGATTCAAAAACAAACAGACAGACAGACAATAGATAGATAGATAGATAGATAGATAGATAGATAGATAGATGCACCTAGCCATGCATTCAGGTTTACAAACATTTGTGAAAGAATGGGTCATTCTGAAGAGCTCAGTCAATTCAGGCATAGTAGTGTCATAGGATGCCACCTTTGCAATAAGTCAGCCTCTGAAATTTCTCTCCTGCTAGTCATTCTACAGTCAGCTGTCAGTGGTATCATTGCAAAGTGGGAGCATTTAGGAACAACAAAAAAGTAACGGAGAGGGGTTACTGAGTGCTGAGGTGCATTGTACACAAATATCACCAACATTTGGTGTGGAAGAACTTGACTGACCCGCACAGAACCCTGAGCTGAACCCCATCAAACACCTTTGGGATGAACTAGAACTGAGACTGCGAGCCAGACCTTCACGTCCAACATCAGTACCTGACCTCATAAACACTCTTCTGGATGAATGGACAAAAATTCCTACAAACACACTTTAAAATCTTGTGGAAAGCCTTCCCAGAAGAGTGACTTCCTAAGCTGTTATAGCTGCAAAGGGGGGACCAGCTACATATCGATGCCTATGGATTTAGAATGGGACGTCATAAGAGTTCTTATAGGTGTAATGGCCAGGTGTCCCAATACTTTTGTCCATATAGTGTACAAAGATAGATAGGCAAACATAAAAATATCTTCCACTAGAGGGTGCACTTGGCTTTTTTTCTCCTTGAGCTCACTCATGTTCTGTTTGTTAGCGTTTCGGCATAAAGATTAGCGGAGAGGGTGGGCAGTTAAGATGCAGTTGATTTGCTGATTAATAAGCCAGGAGAGCTCGTTATCTGCTCTCTGCGCCCTCATTAGCGGCGTTTACTAAGCTAGCTTCCCAGGGGGCCCCCGTAGCTGCTCTGAAGCGCATACGTGAGGAGGGGAAGTGAAACGGGAGAAAGACGTGTGATAGGGACACCGACCAGCTGCGCTGACACGCGCACACAGAAAACAAGCCCAGGGAAACGTCAGCGTAATCTCACATGAGAAGATATGGCACTAATCGCAACATAATACGGAATTTTACACCCTAATGCTTCACTCGGAAACACACGTTCCAGATTCATCATACATAATCATAGTGACTACTGTAAAATAATTGCTTAGAAAGGAACGTCTAGCTTGGCTATCTAGGACAGACAGACAGCAGGAAACATGGTGGGGGTGTTGTTCTGGTCCCTGCTGACAAAAAAAACAGCATATACCAGCAAGATTTCCATGCCAGCCTATGCTGGTTAGTGCTGGTTTGGTGCTGGTGTAGTTGGTGGGCCAGTATGGCTGTGCTGGTCTACCTGCACACAAAGCTGGTCCACTAGCAATATTTTATTAACGATGCTGGTCCACCAGCACCAAAACACTACATATGCTGGGATGCCCAGCACGCTTTATGCTGGTCATTGTGTTAACCAGCAATGCTGGTCTATGCTGGTACTCCGGTAAAATGTCCACCTTTATGTTACTTTGAATAAAAATGTCAGCCAAACAATGGACTAATATCAACTGTCTATCTCTGCACTTGGCTGCCTTTTACTGTGTGCTGTGCCATTCTCCATATGTACTGCTGCTCCAGCCAATGAGCAGCACAGACACATGTAGCCAGATGATTACCTGTGATGTCTGGGTCATTGCTACCATACCCAAGGGAAAGCGTCTGCAAAGGTGTGCCAATCAGAACGAGCAGGGAGAGTGGAATAGACAGGCAGACAGACAGACTACAAGATAGACAGATAGACACACAGACAGACAACAAGATAGACATAGAGACAGACAGACAGACAAGATAGACAGATAGACACAGACAGCAAGATTGATATAGAGACAGACAGACAGACAACAGGATAGACAGATTGACACACAGACAGACAGCAAGATAGACAGACAGATAGACACAGACAACAAGATCGAGAGATAGACATACAGACAGAAAGACAACAAGACAGATGGATAGATAGATAGATAGATAGAAATATGGGTTCTGGAGGTGAGTAATGGTGCAGATGGAAAACGTGATGTGATATATTTTATAAGTATGCCATCTCCTTATTTGGACACGGCTTGTTCACTCTAAATCAATACCAATACCGAGTGAGCTAACACGTGTTTCCATGGAGAAGCGGTGTTGTTAAGGAGCATAGTCCTGACTGGTGAATCTCCAAGGCTCCCTGTTTCCAGGATTTTCCACCTGTTTCCTATAAATGTGTCACCTTCCATTGTGGAGTTTTTAAATCTGTACGCCTATGGGGGCCATTCAATGTCTAGGCTCCCTCCCAGACGGGGTTGTAATGGCAGTATTTGTTGAACATCAACACACCAGATTCAGCTTAATGAGATACTGATTAGTTGATTAACTGATTAGCTGAATCAAAGTACACTAAATGAGGATAGACTTGGGAACCACTGCTAGAATTTATGTATCCTGTTTTAATAGGAAAAAATGGATGTTATAAAACATTCCTAATAGTATATTTAAAATAATATTAATCACGATACACTATGCTACCACCAATGTCCATGCCAAAGATGGGCAATTCTAAAGTTTTCAGTTAGGATAACAAGGGGGGTATTTTGTACATGGATTACTCGTTTAGCCGGTGTTCTGATGAGTTGAGCTACTTATCAAGACGTACTATCGAGCCTTTTTGCGGATATGCAGTTCCACCGTTTGGGGTTAGGGTTAGGTTTTAGGGGTTTGGATTAGGGTAAGGGTTTTAGGGGGTTTGGGTAAGGATTGGGGCTATTGATTAGCACTATGGTAGCCTAACTCGACAAAGTAGCTAAACTCGACAGAACACCGGATGTAATTGTTGACGATTTGGCATGATCCTGGATCTGTCGCTTTTTCTAAACTCTTGCCGGATGTGTTGTCATAGCAGCATATCCAAATCCTCAAACCTGTGGCCTGTACTACGAAGCGTGGTTACTGGCTTATCGGGGTAACTTGTCGGATTTGAGGTACCACAGTTTAAATGGACTTCATATTCGTTCACTTACATTTTGCCCAGACTACCTTAAATCCGACAAGTTACCCCGATAAGCCAGTAACCCCGTTTCGTAGTACAGGCCCCTGTTCGGAGCAGGTTTGTTTTACGTAAACAAGGATTAGCTCAAACACTTAATCAGTGTCTGCGCATGGAAATCCGTTCAGTCATGGCCTCGCCATTCACGGATGAGCGACCAATTGCAATCGGTGCACTAATAATAAGAAGGGAATTTCAAATTGAGAGGGTTTTGCGATATCGGCAAGATCCTTTATTGTTGCCGGATGATATTCTTTTCGAAAGATACCGCTTCGGCCGAGATGGAATATTATATCTTAAAGATTTATTAGCTCCCTATAGTATAAGTCCAACTAGGGGAAGTTGGGCTCTCACAGCCACACAGACAATGTGCATCGCCTTG